TCACATGTTTTGTCGAACGTATCACACATAGGTCGAAACTTGTTATATACTTCCTTGAATACCAAAACGAAAATTTTTCATATATGTTAAACGTTTTCTTCTCAGTCAAGTAACACGCAGATATGCACCTTATGAATCTGACAATAAACGAATTCACCGTAACGTCACAAACAGCATAGAGAAACTTTTCTTACATCTGCCGCTCGTAGCCATGCATCGAGTCAAGAAGGATAAGAAGCAGTGGAAGGACCAAACGAAAGGCAAAAAGGAGAATAACGACAAAAACGACAAAAAGGACAAAAACTTGACTACATGATAACACAAAGATATCCAAAAAGTGTTTACTCTCTTATGCAAAAAAGATATTTCAAAAATAGTCGTAAGGTCCAAAACACTAAACGGGATGGGTTAAATTCTTTCGCTTAACTTCCACACTATATTTTATTTTTACTTTTTAACTTTTATACCTTTTTTTCAGCATACCACGAAAACGCATTGATTAAAACTCTCTCAACGCTAGGTTTCACATTAATTTGGGTGATCTACACGTGTGAGAGAAAGTTCACCTTCATCACGTTTATTGTACTGAATATTGCTCATTGAGGTAAAGGTTGCGAAAAAATATATCTGTCAGTGATAGATTATATATTTGCCATCGATGAAAAAAAGAAAGGAAAATGTCATTTTAGTTATAGTACAAAAATCAAGCTGGAGGATTGCTGTCAATAACCAGTATCAAATATATTTTGAGTGATTGGTTTTGGTACATCTTTTGAGTACCATTGAAGTACCATTTGTTCAGTATTATCGGTTTTTAATATCAGGCATTCGACTGAGTCTAGATCAATATATTTGAGATGTCGAAGAAATTCTCCTACTGTGTGTTCAGCGGCCATTTCTTCTGGTTGACCACTCTTGCGTGTTGACATAATTCCACCAATTTTCCATATACCATCGGAGTCTTTTGTTATTTCACTCCATAAACGATTGCATACACCAAGAGACAATCTATATATATCTTTCTACCATCAACAGCAGCAGACTCAATACTAAATGTATAGTTTTTCCAGGAATTGCATATCATTCGTCGAACAGATAGTTTGTCCACAAGCACATAGTCACCAGATATTTTGTCGACAAGGTATTTTGTCGAATTTATTTGGTCGACATATGTTTGTCGGTTGCTTTTCGTCGACAACTCATTCTGTCCACAGTTATTTTGTAGACAAGCCATTTGGTAGACAATGAATCTTTCATCTGTGATGTGAACTTCTGCCTCATTATTAGTTAGTCGCATATAAGACATAACTGTTGGTCAAGCGACCGTCGTACCATATTGTTACAGTGACATGCAGGCACACGTGCCTGTAACACAACTTCTTTCGTCCGTACACTATACTTTTGCCAGATGACCAGTGGCATAATATATTCAACATGCGAAAATGGGCAAGAAGAGAATTTATGAGCAACAAACATGTCGCATTCAACAGTATCTTGAAACGCTCGCGGATTGATTCAAGAAGAAAGAGATCGATGTGATCGACTACATCCAAGGCCTGTCGCTTTTGGTCGCAAAGAAGCAATCATATTTGAAACGTTTCAACGTTGTCTTATCTCTCGTTCTCACTTTACTATCTTGTTAGTCTGCTGGTCATCTATGTTATCTTCATAATTACTCTAGCTGTTGTTTTCTCTTCTATCTAATATATACTGGTACTCTTGAGCATTAATAATGTTTCCACGCATATTTCTCAACAAACTATTCGTGGACAAAATGGCTTATCGACAAGGTCACTTGTAGACGAAATCACTTGTCGACAAAATAACCCGTCGACAAGATATTCTCTCGACAATCAAGTGCCAAGAAAAAGTTGTCGACGAAATGGTTTCGACACCAGTTTGTCGACAAAAGTGCTAATCGACAAAAATTAGTCGACGAATGATATACTTACCTTTTTCCAGTTTCATCCATCTGATAATTTATCATATTTATCTTTCATTTTCCAATCACGTTCAATGCGGGTGAAATTAGCTTGGTTACGTCTTAATTCTATTGGAATTTTATTTAAATTCCGATTGTCATTTCTCCATCTCCATCAAAATGAACGATAGGATAGAGTGGCGTTGGATATGATCCTTGTAAATAAAATGCCGTTCCTACCGGCTGATCATTGTGAAACATGTGCAGTTTTAGGTCGTTATTATTCAAATCTAATAATAATCCAACTTTATCACCATCCTTTATTTTCGGGTCAAACCCGAATGCTAATCCACTACTACCATCGGATAAGTTTCCAGGTCCACCATACGTTAATCCTGTAAGGCCATAACCTGGTACAAATTTGCTTTCTGTTGTTACACCAATGAATGCACTATCCACTTTATCAAATTTAAATTCCCAATAATGTTGTTCATCCACAGCTTCGCCATCATTATCTTTAAATAGAGCTTTTACGGGCGTACCGCTTTGACTACCATTCACCTTGACTATATGACCATTAGAAGAAATAGAACCCGGATCTTCACATAATCATGTATACATATTTGCAAACAAAAACTGAAAAGAGTAATCAGGACTTCGTTTACATTCGAAACATTTTGCTGAACTCCGATCATCAAATACTGTTGAAAGATCCTCCGCGTATGGCATAAAATTCATCTCACGAAAACTTGAAAAATTCTAGGATAGACTTTTCAATTTGTCCTCGTATGAGGCGTATTTTACTCGGTTACATTTTTAAGGGCATCAAATGGGCTTCTAGCGAAATACGTCCCATTTGATCATATTTTTGCAGGCGATTAAATGCGTCCTTCCTTGTACTAGTCACACATTATGCATCCGCCATATACTATTATTAATAAGAGTTGCGATTTAAGTCTATTGACTCTATATCTTGTCTTGAGTCCGTCCAACATCTAGCAGCCCATATGATTACTCGAAGCTTTTCTACTCAGGTCAGAATTTAGTTAGAAGGTTGAATCTGCCTCTACTCCAAGTAAGACGAAAAAAACTTTCGCCTTATACATTTTTTTAAAATCCTTAATGGCCTCTCCCCTTTATCTAGACTGAACCTTATCCAATATGACCAATCTAGAAGAGAATCTAGCGCTTTATGAGAGTTAGGAAGTCGGAGCGGAGCGCTTCGTGAAAACCATGCAGCTGGGGCAGAGTCGGAGCCGCTCTTTCTTTTAGCGCTCCACCCATAGCTAGTGAACATTTGTCGAGATTTAGCATGAATTGGTGTTCACTTAACACACCGAAGACCTCTTGCAAATGTTTCATATGTTCTTCAAATGAATTAGAAAATATCAGGATGTCATCGAGATATAC